TTTTTATTAGACTTACAAACTTAGTTTCAGTGATGCCATATTGTTCTTTCATTTGGCCGGAATAGCAAGCTGCTTTCGATCTGTACACGTAAGCCATTTAATTTGTATATTACACAAATGTTTCCGCGAACTGACAGTTTTTAGGTTAGAAAGGTGCAAGAGTGCAGAATCACTCCAGCATCCCCTTAAGTCCGGCAACATATTCGTTGGAATTTCTTTTATACGTTCAATTCACGTTTTCGCGCGACGCAATCGTGAAGCAACGAGAGGATTGCGAATTAACGTGTGCACAGAGAATTTCCCTTAAAACTTGTCAGGGTGATATTGCGATGCGCTATAAATTACGATAAAACTGTATTTTAGGGGACATTGTGCCACGGGATATGCAATTACAGTCGTCACCGTTACGTCCGTATCCAGCGTATACGATACTTCAACTAATATAAACAGCGGTATAATTGGACGCGTATTGTGTCAATGTACCGCGTGCCCTAATTCTCGTAACAATGGTATTATGGTCAATTCATTCACGTAATCGCGCAACAGGACGGACATTGGTTTACCTATCAATCATTCGCAGAATCTCCTAGCGTCCGCTCTCATTGCGGAACTTGCATATACGTATCTTCGATACACATAATTCCGCTTGGCTTTCCCCCTTTGCTCTCTCCCCCCCCTCCCCTCCTCTCGATCGTAATTACCAAAATCCGTGTTGCTCAACTCGGACTTCTCGAAAATGCATCCGCGTTCCGTCTCGAGATCAAATTGCAGTTATACGTCGCACGGTTTGAATAATCGTTTCAGCATCCAAGCCCGCTTAATTTCGATTGGGGCTTATCGCTCAACAAGACCAATCAGCTCATTTTGGTAAAACTGAGATATCCCGGGTCGAAATTTTGATGCTATTTTGACACTTTTAAGGATAATTTGCACCCACTCAGCTGATCTATACACCCACATAGACCAGCAATTAACCTACTTTGATGACATTATATTTTTTTACTTCTCCCTTGAATCTTTGATTCTAAAAATTTACTTCAGCTCCTACTTAAAAGTACCTGCTTTAACGCTAAATTGGCAAGAGTAGAAATTCCCGACACTATCAGTTTTAAAGTAGGAGAAAATTTTGTACTTGCAGTTCGACCTCTTTTACTGTCTTAGGTCCCACTATAATTATATAGGAATTACAATTAAAGGTTCAATATAGGGCCGAAATTTTGACTCGGGATATAACTAAAGTTTATAATCCGGACCTTTTTAAAATATAACTCAAATACAAACATAAACGCTATTCAGGTCCGCTGGAGGTAGCCAATTAAATTAATATGTAAATCCATATACCGTATTCTAAGACGCACGTCACGGATTGAAGAAGGTCCCAGGTTCGAATCTTGGCTGAGGTAATACTTTTCGCAATAAGAATTTTAATTTCAGTACGGGGAGGGGGGTTACTGTAATGAATGCTACGTATAGCATTTTAAAATAACTAGGAAAGTCGTTCAGCGATTTTATAAGATGTGAGTTCAATGACGATAATGATTTCACCTAACGGAAATCTGTGTTATATGTCCGGAAGTAACGGTGTGAGCAGGACAGGTTGGAAAAAATACGGTATATGAATTCGCATATTAATTTAATTGGCTACCTCCAGCTTGCCAGGACCTACATGGCGTTTGTATTTGAGTAAAACTGAGATATCTCTATTTATTCTTATCAGAACGGAATAGAAGTATCTCAGGTTTTTGTTTAACAAAAGGGCCTGTTATGCTTTGAGTTAATTTCTAAATCGTAAAACCGAAATTACAGATCGAGCTGACAACACGTCTAGTATAAAATGTTGCGTTTGATGACGTCCAATTATGGTTTTAATTGTTCAATCTAATGAAATTGTAATCGTTCAATTTAGTAATATTGGGATATTACTCAACTTAAATTAACGAAAGTAATGTTAGAGAACGTTTAGGCGATGATTTTTTATATATATCGCATTGGTATTAACAGATTTTTAATCTAAAAAAACCACATAACATCAGAATGGTTTGTATAGGAGCCTTATTTACATTTTCTATGGGCTATTACTGTAATTTTTCACCGTTCGACCTAGTATGTGGACCAATATTTGTAAGTTCAAACATCCCGTCCACGTAAATTAAATATATACAAGAAGTGTCGCGTTGCAGCATGTTAATGTGCAAGCGCGATTAGAAAGATCGTGTAAAGGCAGGATCATTTAAATCAAATGTTGCGACGACATCCGACTTTACGATAAACATAACGCGTGCAGCCAATTTAAAGATGCTCGTTCGATCGTCGCGGCCTAAATTGAATCTCTACTGCATTTGGCACGCGTAGAATTTCCGTCGTACTCCAACTAGCGAGGACAGAAAGGGGACGTGTGACACTTTGGCCGAAAACGAGTCAACGATCGATCCTCGCGCCACGCGAATAGACGCGTCTGTCGTGATAAAAAGAATGTTTTTTTCAACGAAACCTAAGGGGCAAAAAAGTTGGTACCGCTTGGAAGAAACGTTGCTTTCCTCAAGTAGAGTTTCGCCCGTGACACGTAGCCCTTTCCGCCCTAACCGACGATCGGAGTCGCGAGTCGAAGGTCGGACGAACCTTTGCACTCGTTGGCGTCCCTGGCGGTGGCCCTGGCCCACGGGCGGTCGAAGTGGAAGGGCCGGCACCGCTCGCAGTCCCTGCCGGCGGTGTTGTGCCTGCACTCGCAGACGACCTCGCCGTCCTTGCCGGGGATGCAGCGCGCCGCGTGGCCGTTGCACTTGCACCTGCCGCCCACGGCGAAGTCCGAGACCGCGTAGTGGTGGGCCATGGTGGCGGTGGCCGGGCCCAGGCCGTTGAGGGCGACGCTCGCGAGCGTGGTCGTGGTCGAGGAGACGGTGACCGGGACGAAGCCCATGTCGCGGACCGCGGCGTCGAGCGCGTCGTTGGACTGCATCTCCTGGGGCGCGATGACCTGGTGGACCGAGGGCAGCGCCGTCACCAGGGGGTCGTGCGCGTGCAGGATCGCATTCTTCTGGCTCTTGAGCCGCTCCTCGCGCTCCCGTTCCCGCTTGGTGAGCTCCTCGAGGCCGATCGCCGCCACGTGATGCTCCTCGGCCCCGTTGAGCGACGGCACCTGCTCCGGGCCGGACGGCATGTGCAGCCGGTTGAAGACGACGCGGATGTCGGTGGCGGTCACCCAGTCCTGCAGCACCGGCGAGTTGTCGAAGTCGGCGGCGGACGGGCGACCCTCGAGGGTGCTGAAGGCGATCCTGCCGACCGGGCCGAGGCCGTCCCCGCCGGTGTAACGGTGGCTGTCGGTGCACCGCGCCTCCTGCTCGTTCGCCTTGGTGATGGTCGCGCGATTCGGCCTGCCGTAGACCCGCCGGCACTGCGACGAGTAGAACTGAAACGGCTGCCAGGTCTTGCCGTAGTCCATGGACTTGTAGATCGCGATCGAGTCCGGCTTGGCGGCGCGCGGGCAGAACTGCAGGCTGACGTACGTCAGCTCGTACTTCTTGCCGAGGGAGAGGGTCAGGGTGACGTTGTCGGGCGGCGCGGAGAAGCTCTGCGAGCTGACGAGCGGCTCGCTGCGCCAGCAGGTGACGTTGTTCGGGTTGTTGAGGTCGGTCAGGTAGTTGGCGGGGAAGCGTCGCCGGGGCGTGCTGTCGTCGCACACGTGGCAGTGCCCGATGCCGGTGGTGCCGCCGGGCTCGTCGGTCACGTCGCAGTACCGGGTGGGCCCGCCGGTGCCGCACGTGGACGACGCCTCGACGCTCGCGCCGAAGGCCGCGTTGACGAAGTCGGGGATGCACCGGCGCGGCCGGTCCTCGTCGTAGCACGGGTCGCTCGGGTTCTGCTGGCTGGAGAACATCTTGGTGTAGATCTCGCCGCGGGCCCGCTGCGGGGCCAGCAGCTGCGCGGACAGGACCGTCGCGAGGACGACCCACGGCCGGAAGGCTCGGCGCGAGCTCCGTTTCTCCGTCATGCTGATGCGAGCTCCGCCGCCGCCTCTCCTTCCGCGCGGATGTGTCCTCGGCGCCCGCGAGAAGCTTCTGCTGAGAGAACTCACCTCTCCTGCTCGTCCTCTGCCCTCCCTCTGCCCCTTTACTCTCCCCTCTGCGGAAAGGGGAAGCGAGACGCGATCGGTCCTAGGCCTCGCTCCGCGCCATGTTCGAGTCGCGCGCCGATCTTTTCTTATCTCTCTCTCCGAATCCGAAAAACTCGTCTCCTCGTCTCACTCACAGACCGCGCTCACATTATATTTGGCACTGGCCAACTCGGGTGTAAACTCGGTATACGACGACGACGACGACGTACGCGGCAAGAGAGGAATAGACGCGCGCGCACTGTTGACACTGTAAAACCGGAGGCCGCGAGGAACAACCGGCGCGGCCCGACTCGGACACTCCGAAAGTTACTTGCTCCTCTTTTTCTTCTTTTCCTCCCACCTTCTCACTCGGACGAACCTCACCCTCGATGGCTGCGATCGCGCGAATCGGCGCAGTTCCGTGGCGCGCGCGCGCGCGCGTAGCGGGGAATCGGTTGCGATCGGACACGCAGCCGGCGACGAAACAACCCTACCTCGACTGCGGCTCGCCGCTAACTGAAACGCCGTCCTCGCGCGATGCGCATCCGAACTGCCGCCGCGAGTCCCTCTCCGGTCGCGGGCTCTCCGCGCCCCGCGCAGCCCCCGATGCGTGTTACCCCCCTTCTTGTCCCCCCGCCCTCCGTCTCCGTTTGACCAACGACGGCGTCACTCTCGCTCGCACGCTTGCGAGAGATCGCGCGGGCCAATCGGGCGAGACGCCGCTCCCCCCTCCCGCCGCGCGCGCGAGACTGGTCCATGGATCGTGGATCCAGCGCGCGGAGGGATGCTGCGCGTGCTGCGATGGACCAGAAACGGCGGACTTGGCCGCGCGAGGGGTGCTTTCCCCTCCCCGCCCGCCCGCCCCCTCGCCCCACCCCGAGGGACGGGGTACGTGATTTTTCTTGTTTCCTTTATTTCGCCCGCGTTTCGGCCGCCTCAAACGTTAACCTGTTGGCTCGTTTGGCTTTGGGATTTCGCTGCTTTACGGATCGCACGGGGTTCTAATTGAGAGCGGGGACGCCTGCGAAGTGACGAATGAATAATCAACTGTAAGATACTCGGATACAGTTTACGATTACGCTAAAGCCCGGTCAATACAATGTGCCCTTTGCGTCGGGAAACGTTCTATTTTATATAAGTAAGTCAAAGCGCTTAAAAAATTTGCCGACAATACACGAGAAAGAGAGAGAGAGAGATTGTATATATACGATTTTTCCAACTTGCACACATTTTTTAAACGTATTTATTGACTGTAAAATGAAATGTTTCTAGACGCAGAGAGTTATAGATCAGGCTTTAGAGTAATCGTAAATTGTCCGAGTATCTTACAATTGATTATTCATTAGCCACTTCGCAGGCGTCTCCGCAGGCGATCCACATTGTAGATCGGACTTAATCACTCTAAGGCTGGTATTACATTTGTCGTAGAACAAATTTTTCAAGCGTGTTGATTGGCTGCTGATTATGAAATTTCTAGACACTCGAGAATTTTACTATCCCGCAGCCAATCAGCGCACTTAAAAAATTTGTCGCGCGACAAATGCGATATTAGCCTGAAGCCCGTATCAGACTACGGATTGGGATTGGGATTAGATTGAAATTTGACCAATCAGAGTAAAAG